GGGGGGGTTTGGTGACACGTGGCACTTGAAACACCAAGTTTAAACTAATTATAGAAAGTTTTGTGGACATGTATCGATGGCTGGTTGTTGCTTTAAGTGAAGCAGGAGTACACCTTCAGGTACGTCTCAGTGGCTTTCTTAGGAACACGGGTGCCTGTGGTAAGCATTAAAATTTCCCCTGTTGTCAAAGGTAAAGACTGAAATTTCTCCTGTTGTCTAAGGTAAACACTGAAATTTCCACTGTTGTCTCAGGTAAACACTGAAATTTCCCTGTTGTTAAGGGTAAACAATGAAATTTCCTCTGTTGTTTAAGGTAAACACTGAAATTTCCACTGTTGCCAAATGTAAACACTGAAATTTCCCTTGTTATTTAAGGTAAACACTGAAATTTCCCCTGTTGCCTAAGGAAAACACTGAAATTTCCCCTGTTGTTTAAGGTAAACACTGAAATTTCCCCTGTTGTCTAAGGTAAACACTGAAATTTCCCCTGTTGTTTAAAGTAAACAATGAAATTTCCTTTGTTGTTTAAGGTAAACACTGAAATTTCTCCTGTTGTCTAAGGTAAACACTGAAATTCCCCCTGTTGTCTAAGGTAACACTGAAATTTCCCCTGTTGTTTAAGGTAAACACTGAAATTTCCCCTATTGCCTAAGGTAAACATTGAAATTTCCATTGTTCCCTAAGGTAAACACTGAAATTTCCCCTATTGCCTAATGTAAGCAATGAAATTTCCCCTGTTTCCTAAGGTAAGCACTGAAATTTTATCCTGATGCCTACGGTAAGCACTGAGATTTACCCTGTTGCCTAAGGTAAACACTAAAATCTCCCCATGTTATCAGCCGCAGACATCAACATGGTTGGTGTCAGGCAATTTGTCTTCTGCCCCACATTGCGCACTTTCCAGTGGCGTTTCCAGCCATTTCTTCCCCGTTGTACGCGTGCCTCTGCACACGATCCGCCAAAACAATATGTTCAGGCCGTAGGCAGGATTCAGAGGGCCCTTTGCGATTTGGAGGTGAAACTGATGGCTTAAACTGTGTTGCAATATTTGTGGAGGGTATCCTAGTTATTGGCAGTAGCTACATACTCCATGCCGTATGGGGGTGGGTTCTTGGTGGGGCCACGCCAGAATGGGTGGGACTAAGTGTGGCAACGCCAGAATGGGTGGGACTAACTGGCGCCATTCCAGATTGGGAGGAATTCAGTGGGGCCATGCCGGATTGGGTGGGATTAAGTGGGACCAGTCCATTTGTGTGGGATTAAGTTGGGCCATGTCGGATTGGGTGAGATTAAGTGGGGCCGATATTTATTGAAGAACTATTGATTTTTATTCAGGATCTTAGATTCAGATCAACATTCTTTGATCATAAACCTTCAAGGATTAAACTTTTGGCTTGTGTCAATAGTCTCTATTCATCTGTGATCCGTGCAGCCAACCGGTTCCAAGAAACATCCAATGTATGGCTTATCATTTAAATCCACGAATCTGAAACGACACATTCAACCCGATTCCTGATTTCATCGAATATCTGCTATTTAATCCACGCGCAGGGAACTTTCATGGGTGCAGGTGCCAATTGAATGTTCCCTCCCGCGCAACGAGTCTCACCTGCTCACGAAGTGAGACCACGCTGAGGGAAGACGTGTGTCTCTGACACGTGATGTGTGTCTCTGACAAGTGATGTGTGTCTCTGACAAGTGATGTGTGTTTCTGACACGTGATGTGTGTCTCTGACAAGTGATGTGTGTCTCTGACAAGTGATGTGTGTCTCTGACACGTGATGTGTGTCTCTGACACGTGACGTGTGTCTCTGACACGTGATTGTGTCTCTGACACGTGATGTGTGTCTCTGACACGTGATGTGTGTCTCTGACACGTGATGTGTGTCTCTGACACGTGACGACTCTTTAATTTTGTTTACTTGAGCAAATTGTCCAGTGTGAGGATGGGGGATAGGGGACTGGGAAGAGGGGCGAGGGCTCAGTGGGATATAACAGCCTCACTGACCTTGCTGTAAAATCTGATCTGCAGCAAATCCTTGCTGGTTCTGCTCCTTACTTGAATATAGCAGCTGAGTTAAAAATAGAATGAACACTAGCCAGCGTCTCTGTTTACTTGGCATCTTCTGACAAATGTCTCTGTCTTCTTGGCATCTTAAGACGAATGTCTCTGTTTACTTTGCATCTTAAGAAAAATGTCTCTGTTTACTTGGCATCTTAAGAAAAATGTCTCTGTTTACTTGGCATCTTAAGGAAAATGTCTCTGTTTACTTTGCATCTTAAGAAAAATGTCTCTGTTTACTTTGCATCTTACGAAAAATGTCTCTGTTTACTTTGCATCTTAAGAAAAATGTCTCTGTCTACTTTGCATCTTAAGAAAAATGTCTCTGTTTACTTTGCATCTTAAGAAAAATGTCTCTGTTTACTTGGCATCTTAAGAAAAATGTCTCTGTTTACTTTGCATCTTAAGAAAAATGTCTCTGTTTACTTGGCATCTTAAGGAAAATGTCTCTGTTTACTTTGCATCTTAAGAAAATGTCTCTGTTTACTTTGCATCTTACGAAAAATGTCTCTGTTTACTTTGCATCTTAAGAAAAATGTCTCTGTCTACTTTGCATCTTAAGAAAAATGTCTCTGTTTACTTTGCATCTTAAGAAAAATGTCTCTGTTTACTTGGCATCTTAAGAAAAAGGTCTCTGTTTACTTGGCATCTTAAGAAAAATGTCTCTGTTTTCTTTGCATTTAAGAAAAATGTCTCTGTTTACTTGGCATCTTAAGAAAAATGTCTCTGTTTACTTGGCCTCTTAAGAAAAATGTCTCTGTTTACTTGGCCTCTTAAGAAAAATGTCTCTGTTTACTTTGCATCTTAAGAAAAATGTCTCTGTTTACTTCGCATCTTAAGAAAAATGTCTCTGTTTACTTCGCATCTTAAGAAAAATGTCTCTGTTTACTTTGCATCTTAATTTTTGAAAAGGCCGATACGTGTGCTATATTATTTATGTTAATTCATGTAATCCTATACTAATAATAGTAGTTGTATTAATTCATGTAATCCTATACTAATAATAGTAGTTGTATTAATTCATGTAATCCTATACTAATAATAGTAGTTGTATTAATTCATGTAATCCTATACTAATAATAGTAGTTGTATTAATTCATGTAATCCTATACATATACCAAACGTCCAACACGGAAAATCAAGTATTCCAATAACTGCCACAGAAATTACAATTAGTTTCTCAAAAATGAAAAGAATGTGGTCTTTAAGCTGGTGAATTGGATGCATGCATTTTTTAATTACGAAAATAGATCAAAGTTCTGGTTGTGAAAGTATTTCAGCAATGAAAGTGAAACCATGTGTGAAGCTAGCAATTAGACTCATCCCTTCACCACTTGGTTTGCATGCTTTGGACCTGCTGTTAGAGGGGGGTTATGGGGCAATACTGGAGGGGTAGTATTAGAGAGGATTGTTGGGGTAGTACTAGAGAGGATTGTTGGGGTAGTACTAGAGAGGATTGCTGGGGTATTACTAGAGAGGATTGTTGGGGTAGTACTAGAGAGGATTGTTGGGGTAGTACTAGAGAGGATTGTTGGGGTAGTATTAGAGAGGATTGTTGGGGTATTACTAGAGAGGATTGTTGGGGTAGTACTAGAGAGGATTGTTGGGGTAGTACTAGAGAGGCTTGTTGGGGTAGTACTAGAGAGGATTGTTGGGGTAGTACTAGAGAGGATTGTTGGGGTAGTACTAGAGAGGATTGTTGGGGTAGTACTAGAGAGGATTGTTGAGATAGAATTAGAAGGGATTGTTGGTGTAGTATTAGATGGGCTTGTTGGTGTAGGACTAGAGGGTTTCTGGTGAGAAGTTTAAGATGAGCTTTTTAGGGGAGTACTTCAGTTTCACCTGCTGGTTGAAAATGACTCTAGTGTGAATATACCGAAAAAATTACCTGGAGACAAGATCTCTCTGGTGTCTTTGCTCAACGGGTGCCAACTTCTGGTAGATCAATGTGAGAGATGATTCGAATCTATTCTCAAACACTTGCACAAACATTCCATGCATTCCACATGGCATTTAGTGGGGTTAATGAGTGCAACAGAACGGTTGCTCTCAAATTATTTCTGTCTTGGCCACGTTCCATATATGGAAATATGAATTATGTTGTTCTTTCAGTGATGTGACAGGGTTGAATGGCATTATTAGAACATCGTAACCACATTAAGAAACGTAATAACAACCAAAAACTTACGTAATGACAACCAACAACTAACATAATGACAACCAACAACTAACATAATGACATAGAACAAATAGCATAATCACAACCAACATTTGACGTAATGACAACCAACAACTAACGTTATGACAACCAACAACTGACATAATGACAACCAACAACTAACATAATGACAACCAACAACTGACATAATGACAACCAACAACTGACATAATGACAACCAACAACTAACATAATGACAACCAACAACTGACGTAATGACAACCAACAACTAACGTAATGACAACGAACAACCCTTTCATTATAAGGGTTGCACAGATACATTTGAAATTATTGCTCTAATGATAAGTGTCTGGTATTTAATTTTTATATTTATTTGTTTCTTTCTTTCTTTCTACCAGGCTGAACAGTTAACAGAGGAGACCATCGCTGGTAAGTTGGATCATTATAGAGACTTTAAACATATCCCCGGACACAGAACGAAGCTCAGGGGCGTAGCTAGGGTTGGTCTCACCCAGTGCGAACCGCACCCCCTAGCTGCGCCACTGAAAAAGCTCAAGTGCTGTATGATCTTTCTAAAGACACAAGACATTTCAGTTTGTTTTTTTAATTATTTTTTTTTAATTGATTCTAAATATTAATAATAATGCATAACAATATCCCATGCTAAATTCAACATTAGACTGGCTAATGACTCGCCGTAGATCATCTCAACTCAACCTATTATGAGAGTTTCATTCTTTGAGCCATCTTCTTCTCCAGAGTTCAAGGAAGCCTTCAGTCTCTTCGACAAGGACGGCGATGGCACGATCACAACCAAAGAGCTGGGGACAGTCATGAGATCGCTGGGACAAAATCCCACAGAAGCAGAACTGCAGGACATGATCAACGAAGTAGATGCTGATGGTAACCTTTGACCTATTGGCAATTAATTATAATATGGGGGGTGGGTGTGCGAAGTTGAGTCCTAGAACGGATGGGGTCAGATTAGATCAGCAGTTCTCAACCTTTACCAACCCCTTCAATATAGCTCCTCATGTTGTGGCGATCCCCAGCCACAAAATTATTTTCGTTGCTACTTCATAACTGTAGAGGATATGTGTTTTCCGATGGTCTTAAGCGACCCCTGGGAAAGGGTTGCACGACCCTCAAAGGGGTCAAGACCCACAGGTTGAGAACCGCTGGACTAGATCAACTTTTTTAAATATTTGAAAAACCCCTTAAAGCAACGTTTTTTTCGTATAACTCCTTTATAAAATGTAATGTCGAGGAAAGGTGGGGGGGGGGATGGCTGAAAATTTTAAAACAACATGCCTATAAGTAACGAACGTTATAAGAATCTCAATTAGAGCTCCCCCAGCCCCCAAGGGTTTAACAGTAATGCAATTTATACTAAAATATTTGGTGTCATTTTCTAAAGTTTTTGCAGAAATGTATTCGTGGGGCTGGTATTGAAATTATTTCTGCAGCAGATAACAAAAAGAGAAGTTTCATTGATGGAATGTTGTTTACAAAGCAAGATTTCAAACCTACTAATATTTTGAAACGGTTGATAAAGAAAACATCTAAATCAGCGCTTCTCAACCTTCCTAATTCCGCGACCCTTCATTACAGTTCCTCATGTTGAGGTGACCCCCAACCATAAAATAAATTTCGTTGCAACTTCATAAATATGTCTTTTCCGATGCTATCAGGCGACCCCTGTGTAAGGGTTGTTCGACCCGACGGGTCGCCACACAAACGTTGAGAACCGCTGATCAAAATAGTGTATCAAACTAACACTTTCTTCCCCCCACTGCCCCCACCCCCTTAACGTCAACAGGAAACGGGACAATAGATTTCCCAGAGTTCCTGACGATGATGGCCAGAAAGATGAAAGACACAGACACAGAGGAGGAACTCCGCGAAGCATTCCGTGTGTTCGATAAGGACGGCAACGGCTTCATCTCCGCTGCTGAGCTACGTCACGTGATGACCAACCTGGGCGAGAAGTTGACGGACGAGGAGGTGGACGAGATGATCAGGGAAGCAGACACAGACGGAGATGGACAGGTCAACTATGATGGTAAGATAGTTCGGTCAAGCTAAAGTGGCCGTCATTTCCGTTTGTTGAGTAGAGACCAACCGGAAGTGATTTTCTGTTTCGGCCGAAACCATAAATAAACCGGAAGATGACTTTTCTTTTTAGGCCGATACCGATTTCCGATAAAAGTTATCAAATAGCAACTTTTGGCACCGAAACCGAAGCCGAAATTCGGTTGATCTCTTCTGTAGAGTGAGGTTGGAGGTGTGCCAACCCTTTCTACAGCTGCCAAACGTGTAGCTGCATCATTCCGTCTGCTCTATGTTATTGGATTTTTGTCCATGTCGTTTTCTTCATTAATTTTGCCTGCAATAGGAGAGTTGAAATACTGCCCCCATAAACGACTTGACAGACATTCCAATTATTTAATCCATGCTGTCTGGAATATTCTATCTAATTTAACCATTTTAAGCATTAGTTTTAAATTTGTTCTCGGCGCCGATGATGTTAAAGCTAGGTTAGGCGCCAATAGTGTTAAATCTGGGATAGGCCCCGAAGGTGTTAAATCTAGGATATGCGTCGAGAGTGTTAAATCTAGGATAGGCGCCGGATAGTGTTGAATCTAGGATAGGCGTCGAAGGTGTTAAATCTAGTATAGGCGCCGATGGTGTTAAATCTAGGATAGGCGCCGAAGGTGTTAAATCTAGGATATGCGTCGAGAGTGTTAAATCTAGGATAGGCGCCGGATAGTGTTGAATCTAGGATAGGCGCCGAAGGTGTTAAATCTAGGATATGCGCCGATGGTGTTAAATCTAGGATATGCGCCGATGGTGTTAAATCTAGGATAGGCGTCAAAGGTGTTAAATCTAGGATAGTTGCCGAAGGGGTTAAATCTAGGATATGCGCCGATGGTGTTAAATCTAGGATAGGCGCCAAAGATGTTAAATCTAGGATAGGCCCCGAAGGTGCTTCCATACAACAAGCTTTGAAGCTTATTGGCAGATTTACATGGACACTATCATTTCTGGTCGGTTTCAACCTCGTTTTTTTTTTTACCTGCCATGTTTTTAAGCCTGTTCGTTATAGGAATTCAAAAATATGGCAATCAATGTTTTTTTAATCAACATTATCTCTGGATGAAAGATATTCAGTGAATCGCTATAGGGTTAAGGGGGTGGGGGTGGGGGGTCGGGGTGTGTACAAAATGAAGAAGACGAGTGAGTGAAGAGTTTAAATTTCTGTCGGAATTTCTTTACAAATAATGGTTACCTGGGTTTTAATAGGTCTTCTCTTAATCAACGCGTTTCTCTTTAAACTGTATAGAGAATTTATTAGATTGAATAAAAGTTTCTAAATGGCGTATACTCTATTTGAGAACCTCTGAGCCAAGGAGTCACACACATCACCGTGGCAGGTTTCAGCGGCCAGGATTCCAAAACGGAATGGCCTCTTGTAAAAATAGATTTTCTGTAGTTTAGAAATTATCATTTTTTTTTTTTATTATTAACAAAACTGTACGGTGGTGGTGTTTCTGACAGTGATGCATTCGTGTCATTAAATTATATTTCATTTTTTAAGTTAAACATTGCTAATGTGAAGAAAATGGAAATGAAGTTTGTAATTACATTTTCCAAATATCTTCTGAGAAAATATAACTGATAATGTTGAAATTAAAATAGAATCATTTTTTTTTTCTTTCTTCCAGAATTCGTAAAAATGATGACGTCCAAATAAGGCAGCAACAGACTTAGGATATTCACATTAGGAAACATCATTTCTTTTATCCTGTTTATAATTCATCTTAAAGAACAAAGTGCCTGATAAATTGATAAATTATGTCATCTTTGTACTATATACACTATTCTACGAACACTCGCAATTTTGAAACCTTACATTTGTTTTGTTCTATTAGATAGTTTACATTGTGGTGATCTAATAAAGCTTTAGAAACAACGAGAACTAAGTTCACACCCACATCTAAGTTAACACATACATCTAAGGTCTCACCTAAATCTAAGATCACACCTACATCTAAGTTCAAACCTACAACTAAGCTCGAACCTAAATCTATGTTCACATCTACATCTAAGTTCACACCTACATCTAAGTTCAAACCTACAACTAGGTTCACACCTACATCTAAGTTCACAACTTCATCTAAGTTCAAACCTACAACTAAGTTCAAACCTAAATCTAAGTTCAAACCTAAATCTAAGTTCACACCTACATCTAGGTTCACACCTAAATCTAACATCACACCGACATCTAAGTTCAAACCTACAACTAAGTTCAAACCTAAATCTAAGTTCACACCTACATCTAAGTTCACACCTAAATCTAAGATCACACCTACATCTAAGTTCAAACCTACAACTAAGTTCAAACCTAAATCTAAGTTTACACTGTCAACTCATTTGAAACCTAAAACTTAATTGAAACCTACCACAAAGTTGACGCCTGTAAGAAGGTTCAAACCTACGTTAACAAGAACTTGATGATTTGTTTTAACAAGCAATGACACCAACAGTTTCATTTGGCTGTCAGTGGTGATCAGTTAGCCACCACTTAGTCACCATTAAGTCACCATGTAATCTTGGAACATTTACTTCCCTCAACCAAAAAATCCATTTGTACATATTTTTAATTTAATTGCACAGTTACATTCCCCGCGCTAGCCTGTACACATCGATTGTACACATTGATTTGTTTACACATTAATTGTTTACACATTGATTGTACAGATTGATTGTACAGATTGATTGTACACATTGATTGTACATATTGATTGTACAAATTGATTGTACATATTAATTGTACACATTGATTGTACAAACTGATTGTACACGTGATTCGTGTGATTTCCAATTCAGCTATTATAGTGATATACCAATGCTACAATAAAATGTCTAATTAAATATATTGGTTGTTCGATCTCGTTTCTAATGTGTGGATAGTTCTAAGTTTTATATCCAGGGCAATGTATGGATAGTTTTCATGTTAACAAACACTATTTTTATGAGAATACCAAGATGGGTAGGTTGTAACACCACGTGACTAGGAAAATAAATGAAGGAAACATTTAAAGACAAGCAACTGGTGTTTCCTTTACACGATGTTGCATGAGGGGCATAATGACATCAAATGTTATGTCGTAGAGGGACACAGTTGCATCAAATGACATGTTGTGGTGGACATGGTGACATCAAATGTGATGTTGTAGAGGGGCATAGTGGCATAAAATGTCATGTCGTGGAGCCATTTGCCGTATCACAGGAAGGTATATATTTAATCACCACTAAAATACTATTTGTTTCAACTGTCGCTTAACAAAACCAAAACACTGTGAAGTGAGGTGCGTGGCTTTTTGTTCTTCTTTTTTTGGGGGGGCAATTAGACCTAGTAGGGATTTGGAGTGGAGCTTTGAGCTCTGCAGCTAGATTTTCGAGTTCTGGAGTGAGAACGTTTAGCTCTGGAGCTACAATTTTGAGCTCTGGAGCTAAAGTCTTCTGGGCCAGGCTCGTACAATTTGTTAATGCTCCGAGCTCCAAAAAAATAAAAATTGAGCAACTATTTTTTTAAAATTATTTCAAACGTATAATTTGTACTGTTTAATTTTAAACATTTAAAAGTATGCCTTATTCTTCTACCCTATATGTTGCCCCACTCTCCTACCAATTATGATCCATGCATTTCTAATGCCTGGCAATAAAGATGAGCTAGTGACAATAATAAACACATTTCTTTAAACACTTAACAAACCCCACAAACAACCAATCACCCCTTTTTTTAAGATTATGCCTGAGCTCGGAGAAATGCTGTTGTGGTCGACCGGAGATGACCAAAAACTTTGTCCGCAGCAGACCTCGATCAACACAATAACAATTGCGCAAATAC